CGTCACTCTCTGCTCAGTGGGGAGTCTGCTTCTCCCTCTCCCCTGCTTGTGCTCTCTCGCTATCTCTCTCTCTCTCTCAAAAAATAAATAAAATCTTAAAAAACAACTCTTTCTTTCATGGACAGGATAAAAGCAACTTTAGTGTAGCCAATGTCAAAACTGACAGAGGTTCTGAATTAGTGGAATCAGTTCATGAGGATTTCATTATTCAGGGCTCCAAATTGTAGCCCACCCCTTGGGATATGGGACCCTCATTGTGCTCACCTCTGGGGTCCCCTGCTGGGGCTCCATTTATGATTATTGAATGAATAGTCAAATGAGCAAGGAAATACATGAATGAGGGACGCCTGGGTGGCTCAGTGGGTGAAGCGTCTGCCTTTGGCTCAGGTCGTGATCCTGGGGTCTTGGGATTGAGCCCCGCATCAGGCTCCCTGCTCAGCAGGGAGTCTGCTCCTCCCTCTGCCCCTCCCCCTGCTTGTGCTCTCTCTCTCTCTCTCTGTCAATATAAATAAATAAAATCTTTTTTAAAAAAGGAAATACATGAACAAAAAGACACAAACTTTTTCCAAAACTACCATGTTATATTTTTTATATTGGAACCACCCATTTTGGAGGGCAATTTGTGGCAGGACTAGTCAGTCTGATTTCTTCTGACCCATCCAACTCTTCCCCACCAGTGTCTGGTTTTGAAACAAAATGGGACATGTAAACCTCTCTTTTGAGCCGCTAATGTCTCTTGTTTGGGCAGAAGCACTTTCTGCGTCTGGATCTTAGTATTTCTGGGATCTTTGATGAGTGGAGGCAGAGATAAAAACAGAACGTCTCAAACTGCCAGAAATGTGGCTTTGGCGCGGCCTCTCTGTCTTGGTTCCGGAGGGATCTGTTGGTCATGCAGATGGACGTCATCATCTTTGGGCGAGCCCCAGATGTTGGCGAGATAATCCAAAAGCAAATAACTCAGGCAGGGATATTAAGAGTTCTGTTTATAGAGAAATAAAAATATTACCAAAGCCATACACTCAAACAAGTACAAGTTGGCCGCTGAAATGAGCAAATATTTTTAATCAGAGGTCTATTTCCGCACGCCCACCCTCATCTCCCTTCCTACTGTACTCATCTCCCCTGCCTTCCGGTAGGGCTATCAGTGACGGTCTTTGGGGCACATCTGACCCTGTCCGGCTGCGTCCTTCCTTGAAGCACACCCCCAGCTCTGGTTCCTCGGCCCAGGTGGTGGGGAGACCCATCCCTAGATTCTGGTGTGAGGTTTGCTGGGAGCCTCGCCTTCCCTGGTTGCTACTTGTGTGTCTCTATCCCTGAAATTGGCCTCCTTGACAAGTTCATGTCTCCATTCAAGCCCAACCCTGACTCCACTTGTCGCTGCCATTTCACCTTCCTTCCCACCCTGGGGACAAGCTCTCCTCTACACCCTTGCAGGTGGAGAGATCCGGAAAGCCAGCTCTCCTCTCCTTTGAGCTCTAAGGTGGGAAGGGGCATGTCTGGCTGCAGAGCCCATTGGGGGCTGCCCTTTTGAGAAAGGCCATAGTCTGGTGGGCTGGGGAGGAAGGGCGTTCTTCCTTTAGGCGGTGGACTGAAGTTATAATAAGTTGCTGAGGATTTTGTGACTATCTATAATCCACTCATTCATTCACAGTCATTTCTTGAGGCCCTGTTATGTGCAGGGCCTGGTGCTAGGGACTGGGGGATGGAGGGAGCTCACAGCCTGGTGGGGTAGGTGGCCAGCAAAGTCAATATTGATGGAGCGGTGTAACAGGTAACACTGGACATCATGCAGGAAGCTGTGAAACTCGGAGGAGGGGCCACTAACTGTGCCCAGGGAGGGTGGAGAAGCCTTCAGGGAGGGCGTGTCCTTTGAGTTGAGTCTTGAGGGAGGAAGCAGATAAGGAAGAAAAGTTTACATAGACTCTAGACCCCATGGTCTCAGGCCCCTTGGAAGACCTGGAATTTCACATTGTTTTCTTCCCCTTACATTTTAGTGCTAAAAGAGGTGATTTTTCAGAAGGAGAGATGGCCCTTGGGGGTGGTGTGTGGGACGGGGCTGTGGAAGGCTGCCTGGGTGTCCTCTATCTAGATGTCCCACATCCCCTAGGCTCACTCAAATCCCAGGCCACCTTCCCATAGCAATTGGTGCCACACGGGGAGGACCCTGCAGCGCCTATGGACCTTTATTAAAGATTAAAGATTAAAAACTGAGCAGAAAAATTACAGAAAGCTGACCTTCCTCACCCCAATCTTTTCCAGACCCCACTCCTGCTTGGCAACGGGCCTTTCTTGTACCAAACAAATTGTGTGTGTGTACAGGGTTCTGTGAACCTCACTCCCTCAGCTTTTGATGGAGGAGTCTCTCTTCCGAAGGACCTTGGTAACCCTGTAGACATCGGGCAGTGACTGCCTGAGATATATGAAGTTTTCCTCTCGGCCCCTTCCCTTTCAGACTTAGGCTTGCTTAGGAAAACAATAAGCACACAACTACTCCATCTTTGGGATGTTGGCTTAATTATTTATTCTTACTGAAACGTTGTAAATGTTTCCCTTCTACCCTTTCAGAAACACAAATACAGTGTTCCCCCTCTTATCTGCGGGCACACGTTCCATGATCCCCAGCGGATGCCTGAAACCAGGGGGAGCACTGAAGCTTATAGATACTATGTTTCTTCCTATGCACACATACCTATGATAAAGTTTCATTTATAAACTAGGCACAGTAAGAGATTAACAACAGTAACTCGTAATAAAATAGAGCAATGATAGTAACGTCATGTTATAAACGTTAAGTGAATGCCCGTCCCCCACCGAGGGAGGGCATTCCACTGGAAAGAGCTTCATGTGGTTTGTCTCTCAAAATATCTTCCTGTACTGTACTCACCCTCCTTTTGGGAGGAGATGGAGGGAGTTGAGTGGCGTTGCTGAAGGGGCGGGGTAGGGGGGCGGGGGGGGGGGGGGGGTGGGGGGGTGGGGCCACAGACCGTGAAAGCAAAGCCGCGGATGCGGAGGTCGACTGCAAAGAAACCAGAAGCTACGGGGGCGGGAATCCTTGTGTAGAGTCACGAGAGCAGAGTGACCACGTCTCTTCCCCGATGGTGTGTCCAGTGACTCCAGATTGTTAGCTTGAAATCAGCATGGGGAGTATTTAGACCACAGAAGTCAGCAAATGCCACCAGTCAGGACTCATTCATTGCATAGGAGGACGTTTCCGGACATTGTGCCGCTGGGAATGTTTCAGGGGCTGACGCGGGCATCACTGCTCTCTAGCACAGCAGTGTGGTATGGTAGGAAGAGAGCACCAGACCAACTGCGGTTCAGTCCTGGGTTAAGTAGGAGGCATCGATTCCGAGATCAGGGATAAACCAATGACAGAAACGAAGATGAGATGTTCTTTTAAGCAGATTCAGGAGGAGGGCAGGGGGATGGGGCACCCAGCACAGGAACTCCTTCCTTTCACAGCTGGGCCTGATGAGTTGTGCTGCCACCCTGGGGAAGATTCCTCCAAAGCACCTTCAGCAGAGAATAACTTACATCCCTGCCTACTCTCGGCTTCCAGTACCGAAAACCCAGCTCAAATTAGCTTAAGTGGAAGGGGTAATATGAAGTAGCCCAAAGAACAAAAAGGAAGAACTGAGAGCCAGAGAGACAGGAACCAGGGCAGGACACCAGAGGCTGGAGAGCCACCTTTATGTTCTGCTTCATGAGGCTTGTGCGTGAGATTGGACCTGTGGTCATTCATGGACTTGGAGCTTACATTTTCTCAGCTTCATTGCAAGAAAGCAAAGGGCCTTTGGTTACAGTTGAAAAGCCCCAGAGAAGGTCTCTGATTGGTCCACTTGCATCACATGCCCAGCCCTGGACCAATCACTGTGCAGCCAGGGAGGAAGGGTCACGGAGGAAGATGGTAGCTCCGGTGCAGATCACATGTAGGAATGACCTCGGGGTAGTTCCCCAAAGGGAGTGCTGTTTCCAAAAGGAAGAAGGGGTGCTGGGCAGGCTGAACACTACATGACTCCTTCCCCTTGTAGGGAAATTCATTCACGAAGCTCGTAGGCTGGCTGCTGGCCTTTCAGAGCCTAAGGACCCCCCCACCCCAAGTCACGGTCCTTGGGTGGGTGTGGGGATGCAGTGGGATGTATCAAAGCATCTCAGATTGTCGTTTTAGGAGAAGTCTTTTCATCTACAATTCCACTTTCTTCCTCCCAAGTGTGTTGTAGCAGGTGTTTCTGTCTTTCCACATCACAGACAAGAAACTGAGGCCCTAAGATTGGGAGCAGAACTCGAATCAGAACTCGAGTCTCTTGACACCAATGTCCTGCAGGGACTGAGGCAGAACATAAGCCCAGCCCCTGGCTGGCTGGCCCTGAAGCTCGCTCTGGCTTCCATCCGGGACAGGAGAGGTTCTCCAAGTTCAGCCTGTGCATCTGCAGACATTTGCAGAGTGCTCACTGTGGGTCAGGTTCAGGACCAGATGCTCACAGTCTAATGGCCCTAAATAGACCCTAATGACCCCACATATGGGGAGTGCAGTGGGAGCAGGGTGCCTGGCCTGGGTAAAGAAGAGGAAGGAGCTGGCGAAGGAAGGCTGCTTGGAGGAAGTAGCTCTGAGCTGGATCTGGAAGGATGAGCTAGACAAGGAGAGAAGGGGTGGAAGAACATTATGGGTCAAGGGAACAGCAGCTGTGAAGACACAGAGCCATGCAGAAGCATGGGAGCTCCTACGTCCTGACCTCAGGGGCAGCCAGGCCTCTGTGTGGAGTAGTTTGACCTGTTGACAATACAAAGCTCTCCTCTCAGGGTCAACTCCTGTCCTGTCTCTCTGTAGCTTCAAGATCATTGTCCCAGGTTGATGAGTTTCTTCCTGCCCTCAGTGGCTGCATCCTGACTCCCCGATCCACTTGCTGCAATCTCTTGCCCACCTATCAGGCTCCAGGTACAAGCCTCGAAGGCCTCTGGCCATGAGATGCTCCTGATGATGGGCTCTGCCTCTGTTTCAGAATCTCGGCGAAGGACCATCTTTGAATACCATCGTGTGGAGCTGGATCCCAGCAAGGTCACCAGCACATCAGCCGTGGAGTTCACCCCACTGCCCAGTGAGTAGGGGTCGTCCCCCACCGAGGGAGGGCATTCCACTGGAAAGAGCTTCATAGTCAAACGATCTGGGTTCCATTCCCAGGCCCACCACTGACCCCTGTGTGGGTGTGGCCGCCTAATTTCTCTGGGCTGCCATTTCTCATTTGTCACATGGGCCTAACCCCACTTCCGTCCCAGAGCTATGGTAAGGGTCAGAAGCAGGGTATGTAGAGTTGAGGACAAATGTCAGCTCTGATAGTAGCTGGCACATCCCGGGCCTGGGTCGTGGTTTGTACTTGATACAGGACAGCCATGGTTATTGACACACAATTAAAACCCAGGAAAGGTGTACCCCTGAGAATTTTTAGACTGAGCCCCCAGGAAAGGTAATCCAGGAACTGAATGAATCGGTCCTTACATACATTTCTTTTTTTTTTTAAGATTTTATTTGTTTATTAGAGAGTGAGCAAAGAGAGAGAGTGTGTGCGCAAGTGGGGGGAGGGGCAGAGAGAGAGGGAGACTCAGACTCTCCACTGAGCAGAGAGCCTGAGATGTCAGGGCTCAATCCCTGGATCATGACCTGAGCTGAAGGCAGACCCTCAACCGACTGAGCCCCCAGGTGCCCCATAGGTCCTTACATTTCTTGTTGCATTTTCCTTAGAGGAAGAGTAATGCTGGAGTCCACAGGCAGGAGGCAATAAAGCAATTTAGCCAGCAGTCCTCCAAGAACCATGGCTCCGGCCCGCCCCCGTGCCCCACTCACCTGCAGTTGAGGCCACATGTCCATGACCAAGCCTCCAGCTACTGCTGTGGACCCCACCAGATCGGGGTTGGATGCTCTTCAGGATATGGTCAGGGCAGCTGGGGAGAGCAAGGGAGAGGAGAGGACTCTTGTTCTGGCATTTTTACTTTCTTTTTATTTTTTAAAGTTTATTTATTTATTTAAGTAATCTCTACACCCATCGTGGGACTCAAACTCATGACCCTGAGATCAAGAGTTGCATGCTCTCCAGACAAACCATTAGAGACGATGGACTCTGAAAAACAAACTGAGGGTTCTAGAGGAGAGGGGGGTGGGGGGATGGGTTAGCCTGGTGATGGGTATTAAAGAGGGCACATTCTGCGTAGAGCACTGGGTGTTATGCACAAACAATGAATCATGGAACACTGCATCAAAAACTAATGATGTAATGTATGGTGGTTAACATAACAAAAAAAAAATTATTAAAAAAAAAAAAAGAGTTGCATGCTCTCCAGACTGAGCCAGCCAGGCACCCCCGTTCTTGCATTTTTTTTTTTAAGATTTTATTTATTTATTTATTTATTTGACACAGAGAGAGAGAGACAGCGTGAGGGGGAACACAAGCAGGGCGAGTGGGAGAGGGAGAAGCAGGCTTCCTGCTGAGCAGGGAGCCGGATGCGGGGCTCGATCCCGGGACCCCAGGATCATGACCTGAGCCGAAGGCAGTTGCTTAACCAACTGAGCCACCTGGGCGCCCTCTGTTCTTGCATTTTTGAAAGAGAGTTTTAATTTCCTCTCCTGTCTCACAGTCCCTGCTGGCTTCCCTCTGAAGCCATGGCCTTCTCCCTGCCTTCTGGGGCCTTTCTTGCCTTGCTTCCCCCTGCTTCCTCTTCCCTGGGGATTCTGGGAGCAGGGGGGTGGAGAAAGAATAAGGGGAGGAGGAAAGTTCTTGAACACTAGGCCTGTCTCTGCAGGGCTCAGCAGGTGTCTTCCCCTGGGAAAGAGGAAGGACACAGACATCATGGGGTCGCAGGATTAGGACCCCTTGCAGATCACAGCCCCACCCCCACCGCAGCTGCCCTCTCTCTTAGGCAGGAGAGACCTGGGGCCTGAGAAGCAGGGGTTCCTCAAGGACTGCCGAGGGCAAATCTCAAGTCCTAGGACTTGAGTAAACTGCACTTGGGAGCAAGGACATCCAAGGGCAGGGTAACTGCTTGGGCGGCAGTGAAGCGTCCTGGGAATCATTTCTGGGACACTGTCTGTACATTTCAGCCACTTCCCACCCCTCCAGTGAATTTGGTGAGCGTTTAATAGCTCGCAGGAGGTCTGAAATGCAGATGAGAAATAAAGGTCAGTGGGTTGTACGCATACCCCACGGAGGCTCCCAGGCTTTTTTCTCATGGCCAGTTTGCCTGGAGCCTTCTAATGGGCCTCCAGAGCCGTTGGGAATGAGCAGGCCATGGGATCCCATGTGGGTACCCCTGTGGGTGTGGCTGGTGGGGCAGGGGGCAGCGCTGCCAGGGCTAGGATTTGAGCCCCTGGAAGGCCGTTTAACTTGGTCCCGAGAAAACTCAGCATCCCCCAGTGCAGGATTTCTCTCTTACCTTTGGGTGGGGGAGGACTTAGCCAAGATTGGTCCAGAGGTGTGGATGGGCTATCTCCAAGCCATTATACTCTGTGGCAGGTTAGTCCGGGTCCCTCTTCTTGAAGACACTCATGAAAGGATGGCACAGGCTGAGGGTGGGAGCTGAAGCAGGGAAGCCCGCCGTGGGACCTCAAGGCTAAGCGCTCAGGCTTTTGGCTCCCACAGACCTCAGTTCAAGCCCAGACCACCACTCCTAGCTCCATGACTATCTCTAAGCCTCAGTTCCCTCCCTTGTAAAATGGGGTTAACAAAACCGCCCAGGCACCAATTCCGTAAACACTGGTCAACTGCTCGCCACGTGCTTGTGATGGGGTGCTGTTCTAGGCCGTCTGGATACAGCAGGGGACAAAACAGCTGGAGAGCTCCATTCTATTGAAAGGATACAGTGCCACCTACAGCCAGTCGCTCCCACAGTGACTGAAGGTGACACGCTGTGCTCACAACAGCTTTTCTCCCACTCACCCACGGCTGGTTCCCAGCTGCCATCTTGCTGGGGGTGCATGGAATGCAAACTGGCTCCCTCATTAATGGATTGCAGTAGAGTCCCAGGAAGACTCACATAGCGAGGAAATGTGTGTGATAGGTATTGAGTGGTTATTTTTCTGAGTCAGTTGTCACTTCTTGCTGCCAGCGGTGTGTTCTGTTCCATTCAGCTGCTCATCAGAGGAGCCTTTCTATTGCGCACAGTTATTCTGGGTGAGGGCCTGGGTCTCCTTGGGATAAAACACACAGGTTTGTGGCAGCTGTTTGCCACCCAGAGGTCATTCTGGTTCTCTTCAGAGTAGTGCTCAACTGCAAGCGAGCAATTCTTAAAATTCAGCCCCCATACCTCCTGCCCCCCTTCCCCCTGCCCTGGCCCTCTCTGCTCCCGGGCTTGGCTGGCACCAGAGGGGTCCACACGCCGTCCAGCAGCCCGCTCCCACTAACTCCTCTGCTCTCAGGCTCTGCCCTGCCCCGGGCCAGACCCCAGCTGTCGCTCCTCCTCGTTCCTGTCACCCTCAGCTTGTCCACTCCGCCCAGCCCATTAGCATTCTGGTTGCTGCTGGGAACACGGCTGCAATGGGCTCCTCATGGGCCTCTGCGCGCAGGGGCTTTTCTGCTTGGACTTCTCCTCCTCCAGGAGAGTGGCCAGGCTTGCTTCCTCCCTTCTCCCGATCTCTGCCCAAACGACCTCTCCTCAGAGGCGCTCGCCAACCATCCCGCCTCCCTGTTGTGCGCCACTATTTTTCGCAGCTCACTGCCAGAAACGCTAGCGCAGACTTTGTTGTCTGTGTACTGCTGGCCGCCTCCTGCTCTAGACTGCAGGCTCTGTGCAGGCAGCGCGTCTGTCTTTCCCTGTCCACCACTGCATCTCCAGCAGCCGGGACAGGGCCTGCGGCAGGCGCTTAATACATAGTTGTTGAAAGATTGCTTCGGGGCGCCTGGGTGGCGCGGTAGGTTAAGCATCCCACTCTTGGTTTCCGCTCAGGTCATGCTCTTGGGGTCCTGGGGTCGAGCCCTGTGGCAGGCTCTGCTCTCACCAGGGAGTCTGCTTGAGGATTTTCTCTCTCCCTCTCCCCCTCCCCATGCTCACGTGTGCTCTCTCTCTCTCTCTCAAACAAATAAATCTTTAAAAAACAAAGAGGAATGAATGCAAGCATGAATGAATAAGTGGACAAACACCTGGTCGGTACATTGAGGGGAATGAGTAAGACCACAGTCAATCACAAGCAGCATTCACAGGGCTCGCTGCATGGCCAGCACTCGTACAGACCCTCACTCGGTGTCACCTCACCTCATCCTCACTGCACGTCTGCCCAGCAGAGAGCACCAGGATCCCTCTTTTACAAAGGAGGAACTGAGGCACAACGGGGTTCAGTAACTTCCCAAGCGAGATGTAAACCCAAGTGAGCAGAGAGACCCATATACTCCCTTGGGTAGCTTGCTGCCAAGCAGAGAGGGAGAAGAAAGGGATGCAATTATGAATGCCTGGTTTACCCCCGTGGACCAGTGCTCAGGCTTCCCTGGGAGGTGAGTGAGGAGGCGGAGACAGGCCAGGGGAGGATCCTGGCGCCAATCCCCTCACAGGGACCGAATGAGTGCTCCCAGCTAGCACTGGCTGGGGGGCAAACCAGAACATCTTAAACATCCTTTTCTGTGATTATAGCCAACAAAAGTGTATTATAAACATTAAACTTGTTAGAAGACTAGCTCTTGTTCCTGTCACGAGAGGAAACAGTGATCATGTGACATAGTAGTGACGCTAACCCTATAATGGCAATTATATTGCAATATAAAGGTGTCAAATCAATGTTATACACCTTAAACATATACAATGTTATATGTCCAATATATCTCAATTAAGACAAAGAATCCTTCTCAAGCCTGTAATTGTGGGCAATAGCCCAGCAGTATAACTTCCCAGGCTAGGTGAGATCCCTTTGTCCATGCTTCGAGGCCCCTGTAATTTTCCTTCACAAGCCTCATCACAATGATAATTACGTAGTTATGTTTGCTTGATGATCTGTTTAGTGTCTGTCTGCTCATAGGACTGTAAGGCCCAAGAAGGCAGGCACCAGGATTTACTGCGCGATCTCCAGCACCAGCTCAGGGCCCGACCCCCTGGGGACGGAAGGAGGAAGGAGGAAAATGGGGGGAGGGAGAAAGAGATGGAAGAATCTAGGGCTGGACTCAAGTGAGGGTCGCATTAATGACTTCCAGGGTCCCTGCTGGTCAGGGGACTGGCAGGGACTCCGTAGTTCTGTAAGGGCCCAGCACTGGGGAGAGCTGTGCCTTTTGGAGGTCCATGGAGATCCATGGAGGGTCTGAGGGACTGCCACCTTCTCTCTTGCAGCCTGCCTGCAGCATCAAAGCTGTGACACCTGCGTGTCCTCGGACCTGACCTTCAACTGCAGCTGGTGCCATGTCCTCCAGAGGTTTGTGCCCCGGCTGAGCCTCTGGTTCCCATGGGCGGACTGTGGAGGAGGGGCAGAGGGTGACATGGCCCCCCTCCCTGCCTCGGGCCTCATTGCCAACATGAGAGCCTCTCTAGCCTGTCTACTGTGCCCCCAGGACAAGAATGTCGCAGAAGTGAGTTTTTCCGTGAGGCCTGCGACCGATCAAGGTGACTGTGTAGCAGGGTCCCTGTGGTGACGCTAGGTTTCTGGAAGACCATCCAGGGATCCCATCTACGGCAGCTCCTCTTCACACCCCGGAAGGGTTGGTTCATCCTAGGGCAGGGCTTCTCAGAGAATGGTCCACAGCTGTGAGGATCCCAGAATCAGCTAAGGCTTGTGTTAAATATGCAGATTCCTGGGCCCTACCCTGGCCCCCAGGATCAGGATCTCTGGGAGGGAAGCCCAGGAGCCTGCATCTCAACATGGTGCCTCATCTGCAAACAAGTGTGAGACCTGCCATCTCCAAAGTCCCATTGCCGTTGGATGAGAGCCCCATGACCCCACCTTAAGATCTTTGTTAGGCTGTAACGGGGTTTCCTGAAAATCAGGGCTATGGAAATTGCAGGCATCTGTGGAAGGTTGGGGCAGGCGACAAAGCTGTGTTTGCTTGGTTTTGGAAACAGGGAAAATTCCGGATGAGATTCGGGTTCAGGGATAAAGTTCTTAAATCCAACTCATCTTCCATTCCTTGTTCTGAAATCATTTCCTCACAGATTACACTCAGAATCCGAGCCCCGTTCTTCCGTCCAAAATAAATAAATAGCAGGGAGGGAAAAACAAATTTCTCTGGGGGCTCTCATGAGAGTGGGAAGCCCTATGAACTCCGAGAGCCTACGAGGCAATCTTGAAAATTGCAAATTACAGAGTCTGGGTTCCACGCAGCTGTGGGTCATCTGTCAGCGTTTCCTTCGCTCCTTTCAAATATCCCGGTGCAGAAATAGAAGCTGCCGCCGTCATGGGCGGCCTGGCCAGCACAGGGCACAGCCCGGGCTGGGAAGAGAGGGGGCTCCTGTGTATTTTTCCCACCAGCTGTGCTCTTATTCACTCTCTTGGGGGCCTCAGTTTATTTTCCCCATAAAATGGGCTGTGGTGATGTGGCCCCGGGGAAAAATGGGTGAGGAACATGTCATCATTTTAATTTCTCAACTACCAAAGAGCATTTTTGCAAAGTGTGCAGGGCCCTGTGCACGAAAGGCATGGAGCCTCAAAAGAATACCTAGGGTAGACCCCAGCTTGGTCCGTCCTGGAGTGCGGCTTTGCAGCCTGGTCCACCTCGGGCACTCTCAAGTTTGTGAGCCACTGTCTCAACATGGAGAGATAGTCCAGATGACCTCAGTTGAGCCCTGGAATCCTGGGGCTGGCTGCCACCGCATGACTCAGCATCCAACCAGAGCTGAGCCATGAGAGCTTCAAAATGGGTCAGATGAAAGCAAAACCCTCACATTGACACATCCCCATTTAACACATATGCCCAAACCCGGAGACTGTGACAGTTTAATGAGGGTTGGTCAGGTTGGGGGAGGGCAAGGCCTTGAGTGTGGACACTGCCTTTGCTGTGGTCATGTCTGCTCCGGGAGGGAGAAGCTCCAGCAGAGAGCAAGTGAGGCTGATGTGGGGCCGAAATCTTGTGCCCCGATGCCCATGGGCCTGGGCTCACCCCAGCATGGGCCCCTCCTTGCCAGCCTTCTGGAGCCTTGGCATCCACTGAGAGCTGACCCCAGGTCCCTAAAGAGCCAGAGGGCAGGGCTGGTGCTGAGGGGCCGGCCATCAGGGACTCTCCCACCAACAGCTGGTTGCAATCACCCTGTGGGTTCTCAGCTTCCCCTTCCTCGCCACCCACTCTGCCTTCCGCAGCCTCCCAGAGCTTCCCGTCCTTGCGCTGGGGCTGGATCTGATTTAGACAATTTCACTTACCATGGCCGGTGTCTTCCTTTCATCCCACATTGCCCCCACCCTGCCAAGGGCCCACTCTGGAGTCTTGGGGTGACCTTAACTCCAGGATTTGGCCCAGGGAATGAGGGGCCATAATCCTTGCTTTCCAGTGTCACTGGGAGGGTCCCATGAAACAGGACAGAAGCAGCATATGGCTGGGGCGGCACTTGGCATTCAGGAGGCACTCAATAGGGGCCATATCTCAGGCCTTTCTTCTCTGCATCTGGGTTGGTTGGCTCAGAGCTTAGAATGTGATGCTCTTAGACTTACATCAAAGGCTCAGTCCTTGAAAGAATCAGTTCGTTTGGCTTAAAAAGAAACTTTGGCTCCCAGTCCCCAAGAGACCCCTAATCCTCCATGCCCCAAAGTCGTGGGCACAGAGGACCTGAGAGTGGGGGAGTGGGGATGGCTTAGTTCATTCATCCCCACTCCCCCTGCTGCAGGAGAAGCAGCCCGGAGCCCGAGGGGGCATCTTCAGAAGGAAACACTGACAGTGCTCGGAAATCCTCCTTTTTACCAGGTCTCTGGCAGATGGGTGGGCGGTTACTAGTGAAGAAAATTAACTAGCCATGAATCCTTTCTCAGCACTGGTGGCTCATGATATTATTCTTCCCATGCACATGTCCCAGAGCTTGAGTTGGGCTTGGTGGATTCCCCTGGCACCAGAGTGAAGAAGGGAAATTTGAGCATGATGCCATGGAGAACATTCCCTGGTTGATCCTCATACCCCCACCCCTTCTCTAGGGAGGCACTTGGCATCTTCCAGCCCAGCTGAGCTGCACAGTGGCCTTTCCTGGAACACTGACCAGCCAGTTTTTTAATTTCTCCTAGCCTCTGGCAAGACCTTCATTCCTGCCCTTTAATGATCACACAGGAGACATTGGCTAACTCTGCTGATGTCTATCTCTCCTCGTCAAGTTTAGGCCCCTCCACAAAGAAAGAGGTGGATTGTCTGTGAATAAGCGAGGCTTTCCCAAGAAGACATTTGTGTGAATTCCCTGGATTCTCAGCAATTCCATAGCAACCTAGAGTCAAGGGGATCTCAAAGTTCATTTGAGGTCATGCAGCCCATCTAGCTCCCTATACACACACATGTGGGTAGATGTGGCCCTGGTCCTGGGGAGCTGGGTCCGAAGGAGGGTAGAGATGCCACAGACACCTGCCCTTCCTTTTGGGGAAGGAGTAGTTGGGGAAGAAGGGTCTGACTCCTGATCGCATAGCTGCCTGGTGCTGAGGAGGGCCCCTGCCCAGTGGTCTTGATCACCGTGCAGCCCTGGGAGGTCGGCCCCCTCCTCACCATCACCGGAGAGCTGTTACTGAATGGGGGATGTGAAGGGGAGGGCTTCTCTGTCAATCCATCACATCTCTTACCTTTTGGTCCCCTTGCAGATGCTCCAGTGGTTTTGACCGCTACCGCCAGGAGTGGCTGGCCTACGGCTGTGCCCAGGAGGTGAGAAGCTTCAGCGAGCCAGGTTGTGGGGAACCGCAGGGCTGCCAGCAGACCCCTCCCACCATAGCTCTTCGGCTCTTGGTGAAATTCTCCCCTTCATCTGGGACTCTCAGACTGCTCTGAGCCAGTTAGAAGACTTGGGAGATTTTAGAGGGTTCTCTGGTCTCTGAGAAAAACACTTCTGGTGGCTTGGCCTTGGGTGGGCAGCTCTCCGGCAGCTCTTTTGGTGTTTGCAGAGGGTACGTTGGGCATGGTGCTGGCCACAGCTGGATCCTCTGGGAGGCTGGTGACATTCTCGGGGCATTTGCCCTGGCTCCAGCCCTCAGGCTCTTCAGGGAGGCCAGGCTTTTCTGGGAGGGAGGAGGATTGTTCCAGGCCCCTCCCATTTAGAATCCCATACAGGTTCCTTCTCACTGCTGGAGTTTTCTAGGATGCTCAACACTTTGATTCCGGGTGGGGAGCGTCCTATTGTTACACCTTACACCAACCCAGACAGACCCATTCATCCGTGCCTCCTTTCCTCTCCCTTGCCTTCTCCAGCCCTTCTTGCTGTGTGTGCCCAGTGTGTGCGCCCAGCACTCCGCTGCACGCTGCCCCACACTTGCTCTGCCTTAATCCGAACAGCCCCCGGAGCTGGGGGCCGGTGCCCCGCCCCCCTGCTCAGAGCGGGAAACTGAGGCACAGAGAGATTTTTTTTTTTTTTTTAATGACTTGAGCTGCCTCTCACAACTGGTGGGATATGGAAGTGCCAAGGCGCCACACTGAAACATAACCCTCCCCCTGAGACCCCACTCTGTGCACTCACCGCCTCCTCTGTTTAGTAGTAGGGCCAGATGAGCCTTCTATGTCCTGAAAAAAAATCTCGTCTAGCAGCCCGCTTCTGACGCTGGCTGTGGTGAATGTAGGGATTTGCTTTATTTGTTTAAGACTGGCATCTCAGGGCGCCTGGGTGGCTCAGATGATTAAGCGTCTGCCTTCAGCTCAGGTCATGGTCCCAGAGTCCTGGGATCGAGTCCCGCATCGGGCTCCCTGCTCCTTGGGAGCCTGCTTCTCCCTCTGCCTCTCTTGCTCTCTCTGCCTGTCATGAATAAATAAATAAAATCTTTAAAAAAAAAAAAAAAAAGACTGGCATCTCAGCTCCTTCCTCGAGGAAGGATTCGAAGCAGAGGACAGCTAAATTGCCTTGTAAGGTAGATAAGGCACTTTCGGGATCAAGTGGAAGAGGCGTAAATGCACTCAGGGCCCAGCTCCGGTGAGTTCACCACACTTGAACCACGTGCCGGCATCTGAAGGTTTCTGGCCGCTGGAGGATGAAGGGGCCCCCTCCGTCCCCCCGGGGGAGGGCTCTTCTCTGTGCCACATGCCGGCTCGGCCCGTGTGGCATCTGTGCCCAGCGGTGCCGGGTCTCTCCTGCAGGCAGAGCGCCGGACGTGTGAGGACTTCCGGGACGAAGGCCACTCCTCGGCCTCCCCCAACAGCTCCTTCAGTCCCTTTGAAGGAGATCTCACCACCACCTCCTCCTCCCTCTTCATCGACAGCCTCACCACGGAAGGTAAGGCGTGAGCCCGGGCGGGGAGCAGCAGGGGCAAGAAGCCACGGGGAAGGGATGGGCTCGGGCCCCGGCGCATCACAACCATCCCTGACAGGGGGGATCTCAGGGAAGAGGAATGGCCCCGACTTTCACAGAGGAGGGCCCCGAGGCTCAGAGAGTTGGAGTCCCCGGCTTGCTGGGAAGAGGCAGAGCCAGGTGCTGGCCCACGTCGGGGCGGTGGGACGGATTCACCGTGGCGAGGGGAGGCAGATGAACGTCCCAGCCCAGGGCCCGGTATTTGATATGGTCCACCTCAGGTCATCTTAGTGGCCGTCCCCACAGAATCCGGGAGGTCTTAGCAGCCCTGTGGCAGGTATGAACTCAGTCCACACACTCAGACGTGAGCGAAAGACTGCCTGATTTTTCTACAACTGCTTCTGGCTCTCAATGCTCACGCAGCTGGAGGGGTGCACCTCCGCTTGGCTTCCTGCTCCTGGGACCTGGTATGGACAGAGGGTCAGAGTGGGGCAGCTGTGTCCAAGAGTGTTGCCGCTGTTCCGTCCCCACCTCTCCAGGGTCTGGCTGCCCTCCCACCCCCAGGGGCTTCTGCCATCCCAAGGCCTGGGGGTCTTGAAGCTGCCGGGAGGTCTGTCTACCCGGAGGTACCACACGGCATCTGGGGAAGCCTGGTGCAGGCCCCTCCGGGATTCTTTGGCCATCTCTGAAAAATTTCTCATGACCTGAGCTGAAGGCAGTCGCTTAACAACTGAGCCACCCAGGCGCCCCACGAGCTAACATTTTGAAGGTCCTGACCATGTGCTAACGTTGTGCAGGCATCAACACTCACTTGGTCCTCCTAACAATCCTGCATGTTGATGCTGTTATATCCCCATTTCACAGAGGAGACACTAAGGTTCAGGGAGGTCAGTGACTTGTCCAGGGTCACAGCCAGAAGAGGAGGAGCCAGGTCTCATTCGTCTCAAAAGCAGCGATCTTGCCCCTCAACTGCTTTTCTTGGTGCTGAAAAAAAAAAACTTTTTATTTTATTTTATTTTATTTTGTTTATTTGACAGAGAGAGACACAGCGAGAGAGGGAACACAAGCAGGGGGAGTGGGAGAGGGAGAAGCAGGCTTCCCGCTGAGCAACGAGCCCGATGCGGGGCTCGATCCCAGGACCCTGGGATCATGACCTGAGCCGAAGGCAGACGCTTAACGACTGAGCCACCCAGGTGCCCCCCCCTTTCTAAGATTTTATTTGGGGTGCCTGGGTGGCTCAGTCAGTTAAGTGTCTGCCTTTGGCTCAGGTCATGATCTCCATCTGGGTCCTGGGATCAAGGCCTGCATCAGGCTTCCTGCTCAGCGGGGAGTCTGCTTCTCTCTCTCTCTCCCTCTGCTCCTCCCCACCACTCATTCTCTCTCTCAGTCACATAAATAAAAACTTAAAAAAAAAAAAAAGGAAGTGACAACTAACTCAGAAAAATGACCACTCATTCAACACCTGTTGCACACATTTCTTTACCATGTGAGTCTTCCTGGGACTCTACTGCAATCCACTAATTAGGGAACCAGTCTGCAGTCCATGCACCCCTCCTCCCAGCAAGACGGCAGCCGGGAACCAGCTGTGAGTGAGTGGGAGAAAAGCTGTTGGGGGCACAGCCCCCAACACAATCTGTGGGGAAGAGCCACAGGGAGGGTCAACCATTGGAACTTATATAGGAAGCTACAGGACACACACCTTGCGGTGTGGAAATCTTTCCTCCAAGTTGTGCGCCAGGGGAGGTCTTCAAGCAGAACTGCATCTGTGACAGAAGATCGCTGCTTTTGAGCCTCCTCAGTCATTCCTCAGCCTCCTGGCGCCCCGTAGGAGAATGTGCCAGGTCCTCACCTTGGCCTCGCAGACCCCCACCCCACCCCCGGCCTCATCTCTCACCACACCCCACTCACACCCTCTCCACCGTCCAGCTACTCGGCACTGCTTTTTATCCCCACCTGGCCAAATCCTTGCTGACTCTGGGCCTTTGCTCATGCTTCTTCCTCTGTCTGGAACCCTTTTCCCTGGCCCCACATCTCGCCCCTCCGTCTTGACACCCTTTGTCTGGGTGAGGCCCCCAATCAGAGCTTCAGTATGCTGGGTTTTAATTGTCACTCCATCTCCCCCACTTGTTAACTCCCTGAGGGCAGAGACCATGTCAAACCCCGGTGCCTACTCCCAGGGCTCAACTCCGTAGTAAACATCCAATAAATATTGCTTGAATGAATGAACACGAGACTAGGAAAAGTTGGCCTGTTGGTGGACTTCCACCATTACACTGCTGTGTGACTTTAAGCAAGTCACCTCCCCTCTCTGTGCTTCAGCTTCTTTGCCTCTAAAATGAAGGATTAGGGGCACCTGGCTGGCTCAGTTGGTAGAGCGTGAGACTCTTGATATCAGGGTTGTGGGTTTGAGCCCCATGTTGGGTGTAGAGATTACTTTAAAATAAAATCTTTACAAAAAAAAAAAAAAAACCCCACGTAAAATGCAGGGTTGGACTAAACCTCCCTAAAATCCCATCTGGACCTAAAGTGTCCAAGGCCATAATGATTCCACTAACTTTACACCTTCTCTCCTTCTCTTTGAAGATGACACCAAGTTGAATCCCTATGCGGGAGGAGACGGTGAGTACAGAGCTGCCTGCCACTCTTCATCAGACCCACTGCCTCTTGGAACCCGCCCCCCAAGAGTGTGCAGCAGGCACCTGGCCTCTCTGCTTTGGTTCTGAGGTGGGGAGGAGGGGAGTGACAGCGGCCTCAGCGGCCCACACCTCCTGCTGGGCTCCTGGGCACAGGCCCACTAGATTGAAGGAACATGTCTACATCTAGACATTTCTCATCAGCCAGGAACCTCCTGGAGATCTGTCTTGACTAGTCACTGCCCTGAAAAGAGCAAGAGGAGGAAGAAAGAGTGGGGCTAGAGCAGACATGGCAGTGTGTGGCCTGCCACCAATGGCCTCACCTCTTGTCCCCAGGGGCCTTGCCGTCAATGAGGGGTGCAGAGCCGCTTCTCCCATGCTGTTTCCTTGGATACCCTGCCCAGGTTGACAGAGAGTACCCAAAAGTTGTCTACCCCACTTTTTTTTTTTTAAAGATTTTATTTATTTATTTGACAGAGAGAGACACAGCGAGAGAGGGAACACAAGCAGGGGGAGTGGGAGAGGGAGAAGCAGGCTTCCCGCTGAGCAGGGAGCCCGATGTGGGGCTCGATCCCAGGACCCTGGGATCATGACCTGAGTCGAAGGCAGACGCTTAACGACTGAGCCACCCAGGCACCCCTACCCCACTTTTTACAGGGCACCAGAAGTTGGGGTCCTTCGCTCCCGAGATTAACTGGGAGGATAGTGTGCTCTCTGGTGACATGACATGGCCCACCTCCCTGCCCTTGGCCCAGAGCCAGCTGGAGCCCTTACTGCAACCACTGCACGGGGGAGATGGACATGCCTTCCAGACTCTAGGGACCGGGACATTGCTATCCCCACCCGCAGGGGAGGAGAAGCAGTTGATACAGCAGGGTGTGATCCAGTCTCCCCGCAGAGACGAAGGCATGACTGCTCATGAGTGAGTGTGCATTGTGAGCCTAGGCTGGGAGTGAGGAGTGGGGGCTGGGCCACGTTCCCCTCGCTCTGCACCACGCAGGTTTTGGGTCAGCCCAAACCCTGATCATCTGATCGCCAAGGTCTCTGCGGGCTGCGGGCTGACTGCCAGGTCAGGGGAGGCTAGCGTGGGGCGTGTCACCTCACCTGTTGGCAGATAGCAGCACTGACCATGCGCTGGAGTGCCCCGGGGGCAGTTTCTCTCTTGGGTTTTTCTTCTGCTTGCAGAGAAGAGGGGAGGGGAGGACAATGACTGGGGTGCGTGCGACATCCTATTAAGAGTCCCCACCTCCTGTTGATTCCCATTTCACCCATGACCCATGTAAGAAAAGATTTGATATTTCTTTTGCTTATGTGCTCATCAGTCTTTTCTACTTCATTATCTACACATCCCTGTAGGGTAGGGAGAAGCAGCAAGTAGCCACCCCAGGAAATATGGGAATATAGGCTTCTTAGTGGCCGGCTGACTCTGTCCTTGAGCAAATCACTTTACCTCTCTGTATTTCCAGTCATACAAGAAAAGGGTTGGACTAGATGACCTTCCAGCTTGATAGTCTATGGCAATACTCAGCCTCCTCCGTGGGATGTATTTCAAATGCTCAGGATGTTCTCAGAGATTGCCTGCTGGTTTATTAGCCCTCAGAGGACCTGGTTCACTCTTTTATTGAGCTCCTACCATGGGGCCGGCCATTTTTTCTAAGAGCTAAGGACACAGAGATGAATAAAACACCGTCCTTGCCCTCCAGGAGGCCGCGGTCTGGTAGTAGACAGTGACAGATGAAAATATGGTCATTTTGTCATCAAAATAGCTAATACTTACTGAGGTCATCTGAGATTCCAGCCCTGGTCTTCAGCAGTTGACGTGAATGATCCGGTTTTAACCCTTACGGCTTTAACACTAACCCTATTAGGTAATCATTATGATCCTTGTTCTATAGAAGTGATAAGTGAGGCACAGAGAGGTTATGTAATTTGCCCAAGGTCACCCAGCTAGTAAGCAGCAGAGCCTGGATTTGAACCAGGGAGCCATATTCCAGATCCAAAACACCTCACCATCACTTAACCTGTGAGAACTCCCTAAAGGCACTTAAGTGGCACATGTGTTGGAGAGAACTTCTCTTATAATCCTTATTAGACATTTGGGCAACTTTTAAGTGATTTTGGAAAACCACCTGAACCCTGCCCAGTGCAATGTGAACGCCATACTCCTGATTCTACCCACTCCTGCCCCACCTTTTTACCTATTTCATAAGCAGGCCCGAAGTTTCTGCCAGTTTTCATCTCTGAGATTTTGCCAGAACCTGGGACTTCATGGCCCCACCTTCCCTGCTCCCCAGTAGCCACTCCCTACCCTATCGGTCTCTCCACAGGCCTTCAGAACAACCTGTCCCCCAAGACCAAGGGCCCCCCCGTGAACCTGGGTACCATCGTGGGCATCGTGCTGGCAGTCCTCCTGGTGGCAGCCATCATCCTGGCTGGGATTTACATCAACGGCCACCCCACCTCCAATGCTGCGCTCTTCTTCATCGAGGTCAGTGCAGAATCTGGCTCCAGCTCCGCCATCTGCCTCCGCATCAGCATTTCCCCAGCCACGGAGTACCTGGCCCTCCCCACCTCATCCCTCCCTGCCCGCATGCCTGGCTCCTGTTCCTTCCTGAGGAACCGTCCTTGACTCCATCGTGGCGCACCTTGGAGTCCCTAACCCCCCTCCCCGAGTCTCCCCCAGGAGTGCTGCACCCCTCCTGTCCTGTTGAACAGCCTGTCTGCCTTTCGCTCCCCCACTGGGGGGAGAAGCATCCCCAGAGGAAAGAAAGAGATTGTGCGGCCATTCTTTAATGCTCTGTGGTCTTTCACCCCCAAATTCCAGGCCGGCTGCTTATTCAAAGCCATAGTGTAACTGAGACCTTTGCCTCTTTGCTTGTTGTGTGGGTGCTTAGGTTAGAATTGACAAGACACAGTAATCATAAGAGTTGCTCTCTCTGGGAGCTTTCATGGAGGATGCTATGGTTTGGAATGTCTCAGAATTCGGAAGAACCAGCTTGAAGTACAGCTTGGGAAGTAAAGGCCAGCCCCCTTCTCTCTGGGCCACAGGGCTTGGCAGCTCCTGGCCCTGTCCTCCGCTCTCAGCTCCTCACCAGCTCTGCGTGTGGTCTAGTGGGGCTACCTCTTTGACCACAGTCTCCCACACAGGGGTCACCCAGAGGCGCAGGGGATCTCCTCCTCTTTGCTTAGAAGCCCCTGTTTCTTGTAAGCCCTAACCAGTCAGCCTTAAGTTTTAGCCTCCCTGGGTATCACCCCGGGGGACTGCAGATCCCCAGCCCCAGAGATGTTGATGGGGCAGGTCTGAAACTGGCCCAGGAAGGTGCATGTTCATAAGCTCCCCAGCCGTCTCCAGGGCCTGTACTGTCTGGAGGGTTATCTTGGCATTTCCAGAACCTCGCAGATCATTCCCTCTCTCACCCACTGCCTCACCTTTCACGGTCTCAGGGCTCTACTCGGTACGTTGCTAAAGGCTCTCACGTGTGTCCTGCAGTCCATGCCATGAGGGGTAAAATGCCCTCCTCCCAGACTCCTAGGGCTCCCAGCAAGGCTCCCAGCAGTGGAGGGATCACCGTGGTGGGAGGCTTCCGGGGAGGGGGGTTGAACTCCACCTGGCTCAGAGTAGGCCCCAGCGCCCTGGTGAAGAGAGTCTCCGTGCTCGGCACCGTCCCTGGTCAAGGAGGAGGTGGGGGTGGGGTCCCAGGTGGGTGAGGCCACACCCACTGACTCTGTGCCCCCACCCAACCTCCCGCCCACAGCGGAGACCTCACCACTGGCCAGCAGTGAGATTCCGCAACCACCCCAACCACTCCACCTACACGGAGGTTGAGCCGTCGGGCCATGAGAAAGAGGGCTTCGTGGAGGCTGAGCAGTGCTGAGAGCACCAGGTCTCCCCATGGAAGGATAGGAAAGAAGACCCCAGGACCCCAAAGAAGACCAGTCAAAGCAAAGCGGAGAAGTGACTTTTCTTGGCTTCCTCTGAACTTGCCCTGGCTGGGAAGATGGAGGTGAGACCATGGCTAATGGTGCCAGAACACAGTTTGGCCATCGCATACCACGCACTGAAGCAAGGGGGCAGAAAAGCACCCACGTGAGGTTCTTAAGGGACAACAACCTAATTTCATCCTGTTTTGATGTGAGGGGTCTCCCCTTCTGAGTCTCTCAGTGGTCTCCTCCCGTGGTCCTGCCCCAGAGGCCCCTCCCACCTGAGTCACCTAATGCCCCTCCACAGGGCACAGAGAACAAGACTCAAGATTGGGGCCGCCGCAATCCAGGGTCCATAGACTCCAGAGCTGGTCCTCATGGCTATGGATTCAGTGTATTTCGCCCCAGCCTTGGTGGCTTAGGAAGTCTGAAGATGTTCTAGCCATCTGCTAAACACAGGTACGGCTCTGTCTGGCATGTTGTCACCAGAGGAAAGCCAAATGTGTGGAGAGGAAAGAACTTGCGGGGGCGAAAGTTGCATTTTTAGGCTTTACTCCCTAGAGTTACCCTTTCTGCTGAGAACCAGTCCTACATGGAATGTGTGTGCAGCCCGCCTCATGGGCTTTACCCCAACTGCGACCCAGCCTTGGCCTGGCGAGCCGAGCCAGGCGGTGTGGGGCTCCAGATTCCGATGGCACGTGTGGTGTCCACAGTGTTCACTGGCCTGTCCTTCTGTTAGTGCCAGGAAGTACCTTCAAAGGCAGGGCCTGCCAGCCTAGTACCTTTCCTCCTCTGAGCTGGATTTTTATAGCCATTAAAGAGAAGACACAGGGTGGTAGGAGGGCTTCTGGAGACGTACTCAGCAGGGAACTTCCGCTGGATTCTGTTGAGAAGCAAAGCTGCTGGAACAGATGGGACAGAGGAAGCTGGCGTGGGAAGGAGGGACTTTTTGTGGAAAACCTTGACCTGGAGAGTCGCTCCCATCTCCCCAGCTCTGCCGGAAGCTTCTGGAACAAAGTGTTTAGGCTCTCAAACTTCACCTGGCTTTAAGGGAATTCTGTCCCAGGGATGAGTTGGGGCTGCTTCTGAGGAGAATTTTAAAATTAAAATCTATAGCTCAACCTCATTCAAAGTAAAGAATATCAGCAGCAAATAAATGTTAAATCAGTCTCCACTGAGTCACGCCCTTTTATGCACATCACTGCAAAAGTACAAGGCCTCCTGAAGTGGTGGGTAGGGAGTCCACAAATAACCAGACATATCCAAACACTTGACCCATGGTTTTCCAGATGCTTCGTGGTTTATCCTCTGTGAGGCCACCATTGACAATCCGAGTGGGAAATATGCTGGACATCAGCTGTGTGTGTGTGTGTGTGTGTGTGTATAATTTTTTTTTTCATAAACCAGACAAGGAAGAGCTATGGGGAGGGTCAGAATGTGAGAAAGAAAAAAGACAGGGCAGCCAAGAGAATAGGGTTCTTTCCAAGCTTCTGAAGGACAGAAAGGTCTGTAACTGAGCTGTCTTAATGAGAGAAGAGCAGCCAGGCGCTAAAATGATCTGGGCTCCCAGCACTCCCGGCCAGCAGGAGGGTGATTTCTGCCCTCGCCTGACTAGCAAAGCATCTATGACCTTTATGTGTCTAAAGTGGCCGGTGGGGCAGTTCCTAGTGTGGCCAAATGCAGGGCACAGCACCATTTGCCCCACTCCCAAACTCCAGCAAGCTTCTTCCCAGTGGGAGTTGTGCTCACTGTTCATGATTCCTGAAGGGAAAGAACACTGAGAGTGAAGGTGTGTGAGTGTTGTGTGTGGTGGTCGGGGAGGCACCTGGGTGGCTCAGCTGAATTAAGTGTCTGCCTTCTGCTCAGGTCATGATCCCAGAGTCCCGGGATTGAGCCCCACATCGGGCTCCCTGCTCAGCGGGGAGCCTGCTTCTCCCTCTCCCTCTGCCCCTCCTAAATAAATAAACAAATAAATAAATAAATAAAATCTTTAAAAAAGCTCCCTGCTCAGCGGGGAGCCCCTTTCTCCCTCTCCCCCTCCTAAATAAATAAATAAATAAATAAATAAAATCTTAAAAATAAATAAATAAAATCTTAAAAAAAAAAAGAAAGAAATGTGTGAGGATTCAGTGAGGCCTATGCCGTAACCTCTGTAGGCGGAGAAAGCTTGAGATGCCTCTGCCAGGTCAGAGCGAGCCTGGCTGACCCCAGGGAGGACAGTGGTGAGGCCATCAGGTAGCCTGGTTTATTTACAGCAAAAAGAGCTAAAGATGTGTCACTGGATATTAAGAGTCTTTGGACTTCTCGAGCCAAAACACATAGCCCAGGGCTCCCAAGATACAGAGCCAGGCATCTCACAGAGTTAACACTGGTTCCCAGCTACCCTTAGGATCGACAAGGTAAGCGTTTACTCCAACGTTTAGAGCAGGTTAGCTGGGTAGCGAGAGAGAAAGGGTCACTTGGAGAATGAGTGACCAGGAGGAGACACAGAGGTCTTGTGGTTAACCTTCCACATTTGCCTACAGTCCAGCAAGGCCAAGTAGCACCCCACATATGCTTGCAGACTTCCAGGACCTTCTGCCCCACCAGAATATCCAGTCTCTAGGGAAAGCAGGTGGTTGGCAGTACCTTTCCCACATGGTGCCTTTGCGTGTCTTCACTGTGATCTCACTGCCGGGTGGGAGGGTAGGATTCATGGAAGTTCATCACTGCGACAGGAAACTTCAACCCCATGAAATAGGGCTCTGCAGAGCTGTCTTGTGAATGAGAAGTTCTCAGGGAAGCTCTGTTTTATACCAGAACTCTTAAGTGTGAGGGAAAGAAGAGGAATGCAGAGGCCAGGTATGAGGAGGGCCCGGGGTCAGGCTGAGAGCACCCCTTGTACTCCTTTAATCTGCTGCCCCCAGGTGCATGGACGTGTCCTGTGAGGTGCTGGGGTTTCTGATCCTAGAACATGAGTGCATATGAGCCCATCCATCAACCCCAGCACCAAGAATGTAAACGGGGTTTCCGAGCTCGAATGACTGGCCATCTCCCTCCCGCCAGAATCAGGTATCACCCACTCACCCCAGCAGACCTGTGACCCTGGAGGCCACTTCTTCAGGTCTCAGCCTGGAGCCTGAGGTTGAAAATCTCCTTTGGTCACTATTCAAGTTTCTCTACGGACCACGGGAAGCAAGTTTTTTTCTTTTCTTTTTATTTATTTATTTTTTAAGATTTATTTATTATTTATTTTGAGAGAATGAGAATGAGAGAGAGAGAGTACATGAGAGGGGGGAGGGTCAGAGGGAGAAGCAGACTCCCTGCCGAGCAGGGAGCCCGATCCGGGACTCAATCCAGGGACTCCAGGATCATGACCTGAGCCGAAGGCAGTCGCTTAACCAACTGAGCCACCCAGGCGCCCTTTTCTTTTCTTTTTCTTTTATTTTTATTTTTTAAGATTTTATTTATTTATTTGAGAGAGAGAATGAGAGATAGAGAGCACGAGAGGGAAGAGGGTCAGAGGGAGAAGCAGACTCCCCGCCGAGCAGGGAGCCCGATGCGGGACTCGATCCCGGGACTCCAGGATCATGACCTGAGCCGAAGGCAGTCGCTCAACCAACTGAGCCACCCAGGCGCCCCTTCTTTTCTTTTTAAAGATTTTATTTATTTATTTGACAGAGACACAGCGAGAGAGGGAACACAAGCAGGGGGAGTGGGAGAGGGAGAGCAGGCTTCCCGCTGAGCAGGGAGCCCGATGTGGGGCTCGATCCCAGGACCCCGGGATCATGACCTGAGCCGAAGGCAGACACTTAACGACTGAGCCACTCAGGCGCCCCGGGAAGCAAGTTTTTCAATTTGTGTGTTTTATCAGGGCTCTCCTGTGCACAGTATCCCTGTGTGTATATATGTAGGCATGCATACACGTAATGTGCACACTTGCGCATTTTATTGCTAAAAACATCAGATGAAGTTGTTGCTATGTTCAGGCTTAAGACACTGGTAAAAGCTGTTTTAAAAGCTGCCATCCTTGGGCGCCTGGGTGGCTCAGTTGTTAAGCGTCTGCCTTCGGCTCAGGTCATGACCCCAGGGTCCCGGGATCAAGTCCCACATCAGGCTCCCCCTGCTCTGCAGGGAGCCTGCTTCTCCCTCTGCCTCTGCCGGCCATTTCCCTTGCTTGTGCTCTCTCTCTCTGTCAAATAAATAAATAAAATCTTAAAAAACAAACAAACAAACAAAAAAGCTGCCATCCTCGTTGTTTGAAAAGCAGAGTGTTCAGCACTTGAGCTGATCACTCATCTGGTTGTGGGCAAGGCTAAGACTCTCTTCTCCCAGTTCTGGAAATGATAACAGATTTGCACAGAGCACTGATCAGGGGCTGCCCGCAGACTCCCTGGCCTTGGGAACCCACACCAGGTAGAGTCACAGAGAAAATGAAGCCAACCTCTCTCTCTTTCTCTGTCTTCACCCCCTTTCTCCCCCACTCCACCTCCCCAAAAAACCTGAACTTACATTCAGTGTTAACAATAAAAAGCCACTTTCTTCTAGGACTTCTGCAGTGTGCAGAACAAAGTGTCAAGAATTTTGAGGGCATTCTGCAAATTGCAGCTCCTACGTTGGCCCAATGACTAGCAGCTCCTCTAAGGACCTGGACTAAGGAGCCTAGGAGAAGCCTCCAGCAACCTGCCCAGCAGGGCTGCTTCCCCCAACCTTCCATCCTACCTCCAGGAGAAACGGCCTGGAAAGAGATCCCAGCTCTTTTTTTATTTGGGGTTTGTAAATCCCTGGAAGTAAACCTCGTGGGCTTCCAATCTACCGTCTAGAAACACAAAATCCATCTGCATATGATGAGGCTGCCACATTTCTGGAGGCTTCCCAGTCAAACCACTTTGGTGGCCTCACTGTGCTTTTATTACTTTGCGTTTTTCATTCACAAAACGCGGTGAAGCAAACCAAAACAAAGAGAGGAAAAATTTGAATTCTTCACAGCCAAAATCAGCTGCGCCAAATTTCAGGCTCCAAACAAGCTGATTTATAAATAAACGTGCTGTGTTTGCCGAATAGGGAGGAATGTGTTGGAGAAAGCGCCGAGCTACGTAGCTGGTCAGAAGGTGGGAGCTGTAGCCCCAGCCTTGTTCCTGAGAAGCTGTGTGATGTGGACCAAGTCACGCAACTTCTCTGGGTAGG